TGGCATCCCGGAAGGCTGGGCTCCAGGTGGAGAGCCAAGGCCCACACGGCCTCATTGCCAGGGATGGGCCTCCCCTTGCCCTCTGGAGGGGTCCTCCATTGATACCCACTGCCTCTTTTATGCGAAGGTCCGGGCTTACTGGTGCCGGGGCCTCCGAAGCCCCAGGGTCTGTGAGGGGCCAGTTAAAGCGTTCCTGTGGCCCTGACAACCAGACTCCTTAGTCCAGGCCAACAAAGGCCTTACTCCCTGGAGCTGCCTCAAACCTCGGCACCCAAAGTGCCCCGTTATTTCCATGTTGCAAACGGGCCGGGAGAAGCGCCTGGCGAGGTCCAGCGGGTGGACAGCCCTGGCCTCCCCGAAGGTGGAGACGTCCGGGTTCTCAGCCGCGAGAGGGGCGGGGCAGGGGCGCAGTGCTGGAGTCGGTGGCTTTGTAGGGCCCCGCAGGGCGCGGAGCCACCTGGGGAAACGGAAGTTCAGGGAGGGCGAGGCCGGGCCCCACATCCAGGCAGCGCAGGCCGCGGGCCGCTCCCCGAGCCCGGAGGGGCCGCCGTCCGCACCGGGACCGACGAGGAAGCGGAGGTCTGAAGGGGGACAGGTCGGATGCGGCCTCAGAGAGGGAGGATGCGGGCCCGGAGCTGAGCCCGGCGGCCGGAACCCCACGGGGCCCGCGCGCCCCTCCCCGCCCAAGGGGCCCCGGCGTTGGGGGACAAGGGGTCGCTGCCTGGAGGACGCTGGGACCTGCCGCGCTGCGTTGCCCGCGAGCCGGGGAAACGGAGGGACGGGGGAATGGGGGTTGGCGGGGAGCAGCGAGCCTGGACTCCGGGGGAGGCGAGGCAGGGTGACCCCAGTCCCGGGGCGCGGAGGGGGCGGGCGAGCTCCGGACCGGGGGCGCCACGGGGACGGTTCCGGTTGGGGGTCCCTGGGCCCGGCGGGGTTGCGGGACGCACCGTCGGGGAGCGGCCGCCCGGGAGCCCGTCCGGAGGCGGCGCGGGGTCCGGGCGGGGCGCGCAGGGGCGGTGCCAGGCGGTGACGTGCGCGGGGGACGTGCCGCGCCAGCGACCCGAGCACTTAAAGTCGCCCCCGGCGCGGCGCCGGGCGGCAGAGGCGGGCAGAGGCGGCGAGAGGCGGGCGGAGGCGGGCGGAGGCGGCCCAGCGGCGGCAGGTAGGCGCGGCCGCGACGCTCGTGCGCGGGCCGGGGCCCAAGAGCTTCCCCGTGCCCGGCAAGGGGGCGGCCTCTGGGTCCGCACTCTCGCCCCCACCCCGCCCACTTTGTCCATCAGGTCTGGGGGCGCCCGGGGCATGGACTGGCCTTCTCGCCCCCCGCGCGGCCCCCACCGAGGGCTCCCGAGAAGCAGCCGCGCCCCTCCGCGCCCTCGCATCCCTGGCTGCCCAGTCTCGTGGCCCCCGGTCCGGCCGGGCGTCCACCCGTCGGGCTGCCCTCAGGGGCTGGGCTCCGGCCAGGAGGTGGCTGCGCTGGCGGCCAAGCCCGGTCCGGGTATAAATAGCTCGGTCCGCGGCGGCGGGGGGCGCGGGCTATATTTGGTGGGGCTGCTGCAGCCCTCCCTGTATGGGTGGCCTCCCCGAGGGGAGTGGGGAGCACGTGCGCTCTGGCCGAGGCGCTTTCCGCTGTTCACACCACCCTAAACACTTCCCGACCACACCCGCCCTTGGGCAATGACTAACAGCCCGTGCAGGGAAATGGAGGATCCCCTCCAGGGCCAGGCTGGGCTCCCTGGGTTCGCCGTACCTCTACCCCGGCCCCCAGGCGTGGGAAAACCAGGCACACACTTTGGTAGCCTCCCACTTCCTAACCCACGCCTGTTTCCCCATCCGAAAAGTGGGTTGATCAGGAGCCTCCCTGGGTGTTGGGCCAGCCAAGACACAGGGGCTGCAGAGTGGAAGGGAAGTCTTTAGCTCTGGCCGGGGCCACCAGGGGTGGCTGGAGTCGGTGAGGGACGACGGGGGGAGCCGAGGGGCCGCTGTCCTCCTCTCTGTCCCAGAGGCACCGAGCTTCGTGGCCAGGAGGCCTGGGCTGAAAGGGTCCCTCTCCTGGTGATGGCCAGAGTCAGGCCTGTTGGGCGGGAAATGGCAGCTGGCCCACCCCAAGGCCCAAGGGCTTGTCCGTGCTGAGCACAAGGGTGGGTAGTCTTGTGTCTATTGGGGCTGGGGAGTCCAGGGTCCCAGCTTCACTTCACAGGCCTGGGAGTCAGGTAGGGGCTGGCCTGACCGTGCTGGGAGAGGAACTGTTCTCCAGCATGGTGTGGAGGAGGCTGGGCTGGACTCCTTATGGCGAGCAGGAACTGAGGAGGTGCTAGGAGGCCATGGCGGGTGTCTGCCCCCAGAGAGGCTTTGAGTGCACAGGGGCACTGCCTTGGCAGGTGCAGTCTTTCCCCCAGGGCTCTGTGGTGTGGACAGAGTCTGGGGTGGGCATCTGGAGGACTGATCTCAAGGCAGACTTGGTAACGACCCCATGTGACCTTGGGCAGGGCCCACCATCCAGGTCACCCAGAAAGCCATGTGTGGGGTCAGGCCAGCCCCCACTGACTGAAGCAGGGCACTTCACTTTGGAGGTGCAGCTAGCAGAGGGCTCTATGGATCCCGGCCCAGCCATCAGGCCGGACGGGTCCCCCCCACTGGCCTGCAGTGACCCTTATGCCAGGCTTGGCTGGCTCAGCGGTGGGTCCTGGGGTGACCTGGCCACGTGGGACAGAAGGGCCAGTGCCGCCCCCTCCAGTGAGGAGCCAAATGTGGGCTACACTCTGGGCCCCAGCGGGGGCCTTCTGGGCGGTGGCGCAAAGCCATTGGAGGTGCCCAGGCCCTGGCGCAGGGGCGGGGCGGGAGCAGATAGGGCTCCTGGAGTCCTCCCAGCGTCACCTGCCCGAGTCAGTCCCATCTGTGAAATGGGCCACGCCGGGCAGCCGCACGCACAGAACCGCGGGGGCCCCTGCCCCGAGACCCGCGGTTCACGAGTGGACGTCCCCGAGCCGCGCCCACTCGACCCACCTCTGCAGCAAGTGGAGCCGGCCCCGCCCTGTGGCTTCGAGGCCCCGACGCCTGGCGCGGCTCCCGGGCTCCGCTGACCCCGGTGGACCCGCGCGCCGGCAATTACGGTAGCGTCCGGTAGGGCTCCTACTGCGGGCAATACGGGGGCTCCTCCCATGGCGCGGTCACGTCCCCCACGTCCCGCGGCCGGCGGGGCGGGACCGGGCGGAGCATCCTTCCCTCCCCCTCCCCCAGGTGGGCCCCGCCCAACCTCGCCCACCCGCGCCGACCCCCGGCCGGCAGAGCCGAGAAGCGGGAACCCGCAGGCGCCCTCCCTCCAGCCCGGGCGGGGGTGCGCCGAGGAGGGATCTCTCCTGGCGAGGGTGGAGTTTTGGGTTCCCCCCTCCGCCCCCCACCTCCCGCCTTCCTGCCTCCTCCCGGTCACTACCTTCCCCCGGGTCCCCACGACGCCCGCTGGGCGGCGGTGGGGTGGGGGCGCCTCCTGACCCGAGTCCCCCTCTAGTCTTGGCCTTCGGGCACTGGCTTTAGGGTGGAGGGTGCATGGGAATCCAGGAATGGGGAGAGGTGGCCTCGTGGAGGGGCGGCCTGGCGGGGTCCAGGAGGCCTGGGAGGTGGGGGAAGGCGGCTCTGGACTAGCCCCGGCCCCCACCGCCTCCCGGCCCCAGGGCGGTGACCTCGGCCTTGCGGAGAAGGGGTCTTCAAGCTCTGAGACCCCGCAGTGCCAGCTCAGGGCTGAAGCCGGCGGCGGCGGCACATGCAGCCTCCCTTTCCCACGTGGGACTTGAGCCCAGTCCCTCTTGGGGCACTAGTGGGGGCTCCTGGCCCTGGGTGTAAGTGGCCAGTCTGGCCTGTGCGTCTGCCCCGCCGGCCTCTGCCGTCATGATGTAAGCGGACACAGCGGCAGGGCACGGGCGTGCGCGGGGGTCTGCGGGGGTCAGAGGTGGGGTGCAGGGCCCAGGCCTGGGGCAGCCCCTTGCGCAGCGTCCACCCCCCCCCCGCCAGCTCGGCCCGGACACCTTTGCAGGCGGCTGGGGCGGGGCTGCCGGGGGTTACTCACTGCTCCTTCCTTGTTTGCACAACAGGGACAGCGGGGGAAGAAGGGAACTCAGGGAGGCCCCTCCCCGGGTGCGGCGCCCTCCCGCCCTCAGCACCCCTTAGCAGCCAGGCGCTAGCCACAGAGGGGCCGCTTCCTTGGTCCTCAGGCAGCTCCCTTGGATCCAGGAAGGAAAGGAATTGCCCTTTTCCTGCTCCGCCTCCTGCCTGGGCCACAAAGGCAGGGCCAAGGCCCATCCTTCAAGGGCTGGAGTCAGTTAGGTAACAGACCTCGGGGCCGGGGCTCAGGCCACTGCACGGACCCAGGGAACGGGCTGACAGTCCAGTGGAGGCCTCAGCGAGGCAGCGGCACTGCGCATAAACCTGAGGACCTAGGCGGGTGAGGGGCCTGCAGGTCCAGACGCCTGAGGGGAAGCATGCCAGGGTGCCCCGTGCCCCCCAAGGAGGTCAGCGAGGTTACTGGAGAGCGGCCCAGGGGGAGCAGGCTTGGGCAGCAGGGGTCAGGTTCCGGACCTTCTGTGCGTGAGTCCACGTTGGCTCTGCAGGTCGGCATTTCGAGCCACCTGGCATGGCGTTCCAAGCCTGTGACGGGGCAGTGCAGGGGTCTGACTGGCAGGCACCCAGGTCCTGAGGGCTTCATGGTTGAGTCCTGGCCTAAAGCCAGGGGTCATTACAGACCCCTGTGCCCTGCACCCTTGAGGGAACTGCTGCCAGCAGCCCCTGGCTTGGGAGGGCACACAGCTGTGGGATGCGGGGTCTCCTGCAAGGGCCCTTCCCACCCACCCCTGCCCCAGGCCTCCTGCTCAGCTTCCAGCAGCCTGGGGTCGTGGAGCCTTTGGGAGACCCGCTCTCCGGCAGCCCCCACCTGGGAGATCAGCTTTCTCATCCCAGAGGGCAGGTTATTTCTGGGCGGGTTGGCATGCTTCCTGGGGGGCGGGGGGGGGCAGTAAATGTCAGGGGAAGGCCAGCCTATGGCGTTTGCCCACGGAGAGGCCAATGCTTGGTGACTGTGGCGTGTGCTCCAGGCAGGACAGCCCCAGGGTGGTCCTCAGAACACCAGGCCACCTGTACCTTGGCCCATCGCAGTGCTGGGTTATCCTGGGAGATGGGTCGTCTGCGCCGTTATTTCGTGCCCCTTCCCCGTACTCCGCCTCCTGTGGCATCCCCTGCCCCAAGCCATGTGGGCAGACAGCTGGCTCCAAGTCAGCCCCTGGACACCAGGCTGGAGTGGGAACTCCTGGAGCCATTTCAGCATGGCTGGCACCCCAGGCTGGGTAAGGACAGACGATGGTGCCAGGCTGTGGTCTGGGGGCTTGTCCAAATGCCTCATCTTGACACAGAAAATGGCCCTCCCCACGTGAGCTTCACGTGGAAGCCACAAGCACCTCAGGTCTCAGAACATGCTGTGCCCTCCTGGCCAGTGAGTCCTGGCACCGCCCCAACCCTCTGCCAGCCCTCCTTGACCCTAGTTCAGGGGCGCCGCGTCTCCTGAGGGTGGCCCCGTCCCCTGCCTCCCCGTGAGCCCTCGTCTGTCTCTTGAGGACCCTGGCAAGCTTCAGGTGCTGGGTTTGCCTGCGGGAAGTCCCCCGCCCCCGCTGGTGCAGCCAAGGAGACTCAGAGGCCCTGGTGCCTCTCTGTGTTTTGGAGGGGAGCCTGGGGGGGGTACGCGAAATCCGGCTGTTCTGTCTCTTGTATATTTCCTTCCTTGGCTTTGCATGGCCTGTTTTAAAAAGCGTCAACCCGCAACCCCAAACAAGCTGGGGCCCTGAGGCCGTCAACCCCTCCAGTCTCCCCCGGGACCCGCAGTCTGCATCCTTTTCCAGTTTCATTCCTCAAGTGCATGTATTTTTAATATCTTGTAGTTATCCTGCTGTATACTGTCATCTTAGGAAACTTTTAAACTTAATACCAGTATGAGCAGGACCTACCCTGCTGCTTAGTGACCCCAGACAGCATGTCCTGAAGTGGTGTGTCCTGGGGAGGTACGACAGTCCTCCTCTGTCCTGTCCCAGGCACTGTGGTGGGGGCGTCCGGTGTCCAGGTGCAGAAGCAAAAGCTGCTCCCGGGTTTCCCAGAAATGGTCCCGAGGCCTTGGCCCCAGGGAGCCAGCACAGGTTGGGGAGTAGACCTCTGGCCCTGTGGCGGGGGTCTGTTCTGCTCCAGTGGACCGCATCTGCCTTGTCATCATCCAGACAGCCACAGCTGGCTTCTGGGTCCCCTCGTCAAGCGGCATTTCCCAGTAACAGTGACTTCGTGGAACACTTACGAAGCCCTTACAAACCATCCTTGGACCTCTAAGGCAGGGGCTCCAGGAGGCACAGCACCTGTGGTGGGGATGGTCAGGCAGGCTGGATGTGGGGAGGGTTCGGAAGGAGTGAGGAGCCACACACGGAACCCCTCAGACTCTCCCAGCAAAGGTCCTTGCCCTTGTGCAGGTCCTGCCTCTAGTTACATGTTTGCCTTAGAGGCAAAGTTGGGCCGTCACGGGGGACCCACCAGGATGGGGTCTGCAGACACACTTGCAGGAGGAACCCAAGGAAAGGGGGCGGGGGTGGAGCCCCACAGATTGCGTGGAGCTTGCACAGCAGGCCTGCTGCTGCCTCTCAGGGCGCTGGTTCACAGCACAGTCTGGAGAAGCTGAGCCGGCTGGACCAGACCACCCAAGGTCTCAGGTTGCAGCTCCCTGGTAAGGAGAGGACAAGGTGACTTCTGGGTGGGGTGGGGCATGAAGATGGAAGTCTGGCCTCGGGTTCCAACTTGACTCAAACGAGCTGAGCTCCTGGAGTTTACAAAAGGGACACCAGCTTCAGTCATCGTGGGGGCTGGCGTGGTTTGCTCTGGTGGGCTGGATGGGAGCCTCCCCAGCCCCTCCCCTCCCCAGGAGGCTCCAGACCCTCCTGATTTTAGGCTGCAGCCTGTGGGTCACTCCAGGCACAGGTGGGGTCTCTTCTCACTGGAGAAGTTGCTGAGCAAAAGGGCCAGTGGGAAGCAAGGGGGCATCCAGGGATAAGGGGCCAGCTCTGCCCCCCCTTCCCCACCCCACCCACTCTTAATACTGCAGCCCCTGTGCTTCCAACTGCCCCCTCCAGCCTGGTGCTCAGTCCCTCACCGCCAGCGACTGCCCGCCTCTTCTTGTGCAAGCTCCTGGGGGGCTCCACTGAAGCCAAAGTGGGCCCTTGGGGCAGGAGAGCCAGAGCAAGGCATGCTCCACCTAGATTTAGACAGGGAGAGACCTGGCGGACACCACCCCCGAGGCCCCGGGGCGAGCTCAGTACTGGGGACCCGAGGTGCAAGCTGTTGCCAGAATCATGGAGTGTGGCCCTGCCCAGCACGGGTCAGCCACAGCGAGCCAAGACAGAAATGACGGCCAGGCCGATGTTCCTGCCGGGGGCTGCTCCTCCCAGGAGGTAATCTGAGTCCTGGCTGAGCCCAAAAAAGCCACTGCCCTTTAGAGCCAGCTGTGTGGGTGCAGGAGGCAGTGCAGAGGGAGTGGGACCCCCAGCTGCTAGCCTCCCTCCACATCCTCCTGCCTCCACCAAGCACCAGGTCAGGGGGCCACAAGTGCAGGCGCTGGGCAGCTGCCCCTCAGCCGAGCTGCGGGGTCATCCAGCCTAGGCATGTGTGCCACCCAGCTCGTGTCACTGCCTGACGGGCTGCAGCTGGGATGGTCACCCGGGCAGCCTGAGTCAACCTGCGTTCTCTCTCAGGTGAGGCGGAACCGACGCTCTCGGCCATGGGAGGGGCCGTGGTGGACGAGGGCCCCACAGGCGTCAAGGCCCCCGACGGCGGCTGGGGCTGGGCCGTGCTCTTCGGCTGCTTCGTCATCACCGGCTTCTCCTACGCCTTCCCCAAGGCCGTCAGCGTCTTCTTCAAGGAGCTCATGCGGGAGTTTGGGATCGGCTACAGCGACACAGCCTGGATCTCCTCCATCCTGCTGGCCATGCTCTACGGGACAGGTGAGGGCGGCCTCACACCGGGCCCCCGTCCGGGGCTCTGCTGGCAGATCCTGCCAGGCGCAGGAGCCCGCGTGTGGCCAGGCTCAGCAACAGGGCCTTCTGCCCGCTCCCCAGGAACCCTGGAGGGAAGCCCTTGGGGCGGGGATCCTGCTGGCCAGCAACATGTTCTCCACGGGGCCAACCCAGGCAGGGTGCGAAGTCCATCCTGGCCCCTGTCCAAACGGGTCGGCTGTATTTTTAGACAGTCCCAGAGGACAGGGCTCCCGAGGGCCGTTCCTGAAAAGATGGCTGTTCCTGCGCTGCAGGGACCACGGAGCCCAGCAGGTGGCGCTCGCCTGTCACTCTGCCCTGCTCTGGGACTGGCCCGCAGCGTGCCCCGGTGCCCCGCGGAGGGAGGGGTGGCGTGGGAAGGGGAGGCCGGCTGCAGACGGTGAGCTCGGTGGGCTGGCGGGGGCAGAGCTGGCTGCAGGCCCAGCGCCTCTCAGCTGCCGCCCTCCTCAGGCCCCCTCTGCAGCGTGTGCGTGAACCGCTTTGGCTGCCGGCCCGTCATGCTTGTGGGGGGCCTCTTTGCGTCCCTGGGCATGGTGGCTGCGTCCTTTTGCCGGAGCATCATCCAGGTCTACCTCACCACTGGGGTCATCACTGGTGAGTGGGGCCGGCCGGTGGGCCGCAGGTGCTGGGAGGGGGGCGGGCCATGCACTTCTGCTCCTGGGTCCAGGCCGCCTCTGGAGGACAGCAGGGCGGGTGGCTGCAGGATGTCCCGGCCCCACCTCGTTGTCCCCCTCTCGCGTGTGTGGGTGGCAGGGGCGCTGCACACTGGGAGCCCGAGCCCGTGGGAACCTGGGAGTAGAGACGCGGGTCTTGGGCTTTGGGGGCAGCCTTGTGGGGGCTCTCACCACATTCCCTTTCCTCCAGGGTTGGGTTTGGCGCTCAACTTCCAGCCCTCGCTCATCATGCTGAACCGCTATTTCAGCAAGCGGCGCCCCATGGCCAACGGGCTGGCGGCAGCAGGCAGCCCCGTCTTCCTGTGTGCCCTGAGCCCGCTGGGGCAGCTGCTGCAGGACCGCTACGGCTGGCGGGGCGGCTTCCTCATCCTGGGCGGCCTGCTGCTCAACTGCTGCGTGTGCGCCGCACTCATGAGGCCCCTGGTGGCCGTGGCCCAGCCGGGCTCGGGGCCGCCACGATCCTCCCGGCGCCTGCTAGACCTGAGCGTCTTCCGGGACCGCGGCTTCGTGCTGTACGCGGTGGCCGCCTCGGTCATGGTGCTGGGGCTCTTCATCCCGCCCGTGTTCGTGGTGAGCTACGCCAAGGACCTGGGCGTGCCCGACACCAAGGCCGCCTTCCTGCTCACTGTGCTGGGCTTCATTGATATCTTCGCGCGGCCGGCCGCGGGCTTTGTGGCGGGGCTTGGGAAGGTGCGGCCCTACTCCGTCTACCTCTTCAGCTTCTCCATGTTCTTCAACGGCCTCGCGGACCTGGCGGGCTCCACGGCCGGCGACTACGGCGGCCTGGTGGTCTTCTGCATCTTCTTTGGCATCTCCTACGGCATGGTGGGGGCCCTGCAGTTCGAGGTGCTCATGGCCATTGTGGGCACCCACAAGTTCTCCAGCGCCATCGGCCTGGTGCTGCTGATGGAGGCGGTGGCCGTACTCATCGGGCCCCCATCAGGAGGTGAGCGCTGCGCCCCCAGGCAGTTCCCCACGTCTGCCCTTCCCATCAGATGCCTGCTTTGCGAGGCAGGGATGCACACCCCTAGGCAGCTGTCGGCATTGTGGGACTCAGAGCTGAAGGGGGTGCACTGGCTGAACCGACCCTGATTCTGCTGGGGCCAGCGGGTCTCCGTTAGGAGTGGGGGCTCGGTCTGGCACAGTGCACCCCAGATAGACCAGGCAGCTAGGGGCTGGATCCGTGGGGTGGGCAGCTCCTCCAGGCTCTACGTGGGCACCACGTGGCAGCTCCGGGCAACCCCACAGCCAGTTTTTGTATTTTGGGGCCTCCGTTTTGAAGGCTGACTGAGCTAACACGTGAAGGAAATTAGGTTTGACTGGAGCAGCCTTGCCCAGGCTCTGGCTGCCTGGCGAGGGGGTCCTGGGCTTGGGGAGGGCCAAGGTCTCACCCCCAGACTCCTGTCTTGGAGTCCGCGGTGGCCAGGACACAGGGCTGGTGCTGAACACAGCAGGGCTTCTGGGGCTGCCCACTGGAAGCCTCAGGGGGACTCCGTGGGGACCAGCCTGACTCCTGCCACCAACCAAAGCCCAAACTCTCTGCAAAGCCACTGCTATTTTTAGCCTCTTAAGTCTTCGTTCCCCTGGGGAGGAGGGAGAAGAGGCTGAGGAGGGAGGATGCCCCCAGCTGGAACACATGGAGGGGAGAGAACACCTCCCAGCCCCATGAACTCAAGAGGCAGACAGGGCAACCCGTGTGTGCTGAGACGCAGAGACACAGGCTTGGGGGGCAGCTCTGGGCCCTGCGGGCAGCCTGCGGAAGCAGCTGGGACTAAAGGGGTCTTCCTACAGGCAAGCTCTTGGATGCGACCCACGTCTACAAGTACGTGTTCATCCTGGCGGGGGCCGAGGTGCTCACCTCCTCCCTGATTTTGCTGCTGGGCAACTTCTTCTGCATTAGGAAGCAGCCCAAGGAGCCACAGCCCGAGGTGGTGGCCGCGGAGGAGGAGAAGCTCCACAAACCTCCTGCAGACTCGGGGGTGGACTTGCGGGAGGTGGAGCATTTCCTGAAGGCTGAGCCTGAGAAAAACGGGGAGGTGATTCACACCCCGGAAACGAGTGTCTGAGTGGCTGGGCGGGGCCGGCAGGCACAGGGAGGAGGTACAGAAGCCGGCAACGCTTGCTATTTATTTTACAAACTGGACTGGCTCAGGCAGGGCCATGGCTGGGCTCCGGCTGCCGGCCCAGCGGATCGTCGCCTGATCAGTGTTTTGCGGGGGAAGGTGGCGGGGTGGGAATCATGTCATTCCAGAGTGGATCTGTGGTGAAACCAAGCCACAAGGTTATAAGGCATCCTCACCAGGGGCCCCGCCTGCTGGTCCCAAGCAGCCTGCGGCCACTGCTATGCTCAAGGACCTAGAAACCCGCACTGCAAGATGACGTGACTTTAATGGGAGGGTGGGCCGCGGACAGGCTGGCAGGGCAGGTGCTGTGTGGGGCCCTCTCCAGCCTGTCCTACCCTGGACTCTCACATGGGGCCTGTGCCCACCCCTCTAGTGTCTTGGGGACAGCTCCTTCCACCCCTGGAAGGTGGAAATAAACCTGGATGTGGGTGGAGCGTCAGGACAATGGTTTCCTAGAACTGTATGATTTTGCCATGTGGCCTAACTCTGTGTCCCAAATCTCACATCTGCTGGTAGCCTGGCTGTTCCTACAGTGGCTCTGTCCTCACCAGCTTTCCCTGCAGCAGCACAGCATTCGTAGCAGGGGCAGGCACTGCGTGGAGGGGGGTGCGGGGCGGGTGCCTGGACCCGCTTGTGCCAGGGTGGTCTCTGAAACGTTCCCTGGGAGCCCCTAAGTGGTGGTTATATGGGAGCTGAGGTGGAACAGGCCACTTTATTCACTGCTATGTTTAAGAAACAGGACTCTCCTGCCTTCCCTTTTTCGCCCCTCTGGCTGGCAGTGTGCACAGTGTGGCCGGTGCCCAGGGCTGGTCTTTGTGCCCTGTCCTCCATCCAGCCCGGTCCAGCACTTGGGCTTGTCCTGGGCACCTAACACCCACCTGCCCTCGTGGCCAGCAGTGGCCTGCGTGGCTGGGAGCCCGGTCAGAGGCCGCCGGGGCCCTCAGTAGGTGCGTCGTGGGCGCTGGGGATGGCAGCGGGTGCCCTGGCGGGCTGCGTGCAGCCGGAGAGATGCCATGTCCCTGCTCCTCTGCAATGAAAAGCAAGCGAAAAGTGCACATCTCAGCTCCAGGTGCCCCCATCTGCCCCTGGCCTTGCCCCAGCTAGGCTGGAGCTCTCTCAGCCCAGGCTCCTGCCTGCAGCCGCAGGGCTGTGGAGGCCTCTAGCAGGGCTCAGGCTGGTGGGCAATGCCAGCAGCTGCAGGGATCAAGGTCCACCTCTGCACAGCCAGGCCCATGTGTCTCGACAGAGTCCACCCAGCAGCTGAAGGGAGAAGGACGAGGAGGTGGGAGCAGGCAAGGTGGGGGGAAGCAGGCAGCCTGGGCCTCAGAAGACACATGGCCTTCCCCGGCTGGCACCCCCACATCAGGGCCCCGTGGGGGCTGCTCAGACCCAGGGGTTGCTGCCTCTGGACCTGGCTGTGCCTGGTTCTGCTGCCCTCAGGAGTGACCTGGGCTTACAGAGGTACTGGCAGGGAGGTCATGGGCCGGGTGGGGGGTGCTCGCTCCTGGAACCCTCTGTTTCCAGATATCTCAGGCCCTCACCCTCCCCTAGGCAGGAAGCAGGCCCCTCTAGCTCAACCGTCGCCCCTCATCTGCCCCACTCTGGTCCCCACACCCACAGCACACAGCAGAGGCCCAACACAAAGTAGCCAGGCAGTGCTGCTCCTAGACAGACACGCCTGAGGGGCCCTGCTCAGTGATTCAGGAGTGGTCCCGATGTGGGAAGGCGGCCATGCATGGCTGGGGGCACGGGACGTCTGGGGGCTGGGGTCCCTGTGCCGCGGAGCGGGTGTTGAGTTCTACCACCCCCTCCTTCAGCTGGTGTCTTTATAGGCGAGAAGCCATGGGGCAGCGGGTCTGCTCTGACACAACAGGCAGGAGTGAAGGGAAGGGAAGCCCGGGGCCCACTGGAGGAAGCTGGGCACAGAGGTCTGGTGTGTGGGCTGCACAGAGCTACCCCCCAACCCCGGTGACAGATTCTGGGGCCAAAAGTGGTTCAGGTCTACCATGTTGTGAAGACCCCCTGACCAGAGACACGTCCATCCAGAACCCACTGCTACGTGGGGTGGGGTGGGGTGGGGTGGGGGGGGGCAGAGGGCACACAGACTTCTTCACACAATCCCAGATCAGAGGGAGGAGGGAGGTGTTCACCTGGCCTGGGTTTTCCCAGAGAATAGCCCTGGAACAGTTGTGTGCAGGGCCCGTGCTGGGGGAGGTGGCGGGGGAGGTGCAGGGAACCCAGAAAGGGCCTGGTGGCTCCAGACGCTGCCATCCCTGGGCCTTCCAAGGGGTCTGTGGTGAAGCTCCCGGGAGGCGCTGCCCAGTACCTGGAAGGCCTGCTCTTCCCCTCTAAACCACGTCTGGGGACACAGACCCAGCCAGACTCAGGTGCAGAGAACAAGCTCTCTAACCCTGTCCGCTCAGGTCCTCACAGGTGACATGCAGAGCCGCCACCCAGCAGGCCCTGAGGACATGCAGCCCCTGCTCCCTCTCAGGGCAGGGAACCCCAGGAGGGAGGCTGCGGGCCTGGGGAAGGTCAGGCAGGAACTGGAACTTGGGTCTTGCCATTTTCCGGTTGGGGCCGGTGAACAGGGCAGGGGCTGAGCCTCACCCACGGCCACAGTGAGGCCCCACACACCGTCTCAGTCTGGGGCAGCAAGAGGGAACCATGTGAGGTGGCCTGGAGACGAGGAAGGCCCTGGGAGACGGCAAAGTCTGGGCAGGAGGGCTGGCAGAGCTCCAGGCCACAGGCCTCCCCAGGGTCAGGGCAGAGTGCGTCACAGGCAGAGTCGGCGGGACAGCCCCGGAACCCCCTCAGCACACACCCACGTGGGGCTCAGAAAACTACACCATTCTTAGTTCGAGCAACCTCCACGCAAGCCACCCGAAGTCTTTATGCTTTCACTACAAACCAAAATATCCTCATCTTAGGCAGTGTGACCCTGCTGGCGTGGCTGTGGCCAAGGACCAAAGGAGTGGCCTGGAGTGGAGAGTGTGGGGTGGAGGTGGGGGCGGGAGGGGAGCTGGGGGGGAGGCGGCCTAGCCTGGCTGAGCTCACCCATACACAAGCACAGGTCAGGAGTAGGTGCGGACCTCCCTGCTCCGGCAGCCCGACAGCCCCCGAAAGGCCTTGGATAGGGGCCGCTGCTGTGTGCTCCGGGGCGGGCAGAGAGGAACCGCATCCTTGTTCCTGTGCAGGGCCATCGGGGCAGCTCCTAGGCTTCAACAGCTCAAGTGACAGGGGAAGCCCTGAGCACTGCAGCCCTATGGCAGTGGGAATGGACACGCGCTCACCCCAGGCGGCTGGAGTGCCGCTGCCGGTGCCACCTCAGAGGGCAGGGGCTCTCCAGAACCATCACACAGAACATGCGTGGACTTCCGTGTGCACACCAGAGCCCAAGGGGGCAGCAAGGTGAGGAGCAGTCGCCACCCCTCCCTGCCCGGCAGGAGGCCCAGGGCACAGCTCTCCTCCTGCTCTGCCAGCTCCCAGACACCCACAGGCTGAGAAAGAACAAACAGTCTCAAAAAAGTATTTTCACATAGTTCACCTCAATGCATCGAAAACTCTCAAGCTGATGAAATAAAGACCACGTGGAAACGGGAAGGAAGAAAGGTAGAAGTCATTATGAATTTATTATTTACACAATTGTTAAAGTACACAAATACAGTGGCGATACAAACGCACAGCTTGGAGACTGCCCGCCAGTGCACAGCTGACACAACGTCCTACCTACGTTTCCTGCACGGGGCGACGGGGACTAGATACTGGGCAAGGACTGTCACAAGCACACTCCGAAGACGCAACCCGGCAAGGCTCAGGCTGGAACCCAGGCGCAGAGCTGCCTCGCACAAACGTTCTGGCGCTACATCAGGACCACGGGTATTTACAAAGCCAGCTCGCGCCCCTTCAGGCCACAGCCGCAACGTCTCTCCGGGTCGGGGACGTCCACCTTCAGGAAGGCGTCCAGCAACAAAGAAAATCTCTAACTTGGCTCTGACCCACCCCGACCTCCCTCTGTACTTCGACACACAGCTCCCACCCGCTCAAGGCCCCGCACTCCAAAATGCTTACACAGTAACCAGCCTAGGATTCAGAAAGCACCCATGGGCTCAGCCAGCCAGCCAGCCAGCCGGGAGGGTGAACGACTGTGTTCCAGGACGCCAGCCAGTTACGGTGTCCGGGCATCTCTGGGGAGGAGAGGGAAGAACCCAGGTGCACACCTTTGGGGTCCTAGAGTCCAAAGGGAACATTGTCCATCGTGATGGGGTCCAGGAGAAGTGCCCATGAACACAGACTGCACTGCGCATCAGGGGTGGGAGCACACGGCCACTGGCTACTGGCCAACTGCTGCGGAGTGAGAGGCGAGAAGGCATCCTGGAAACCTCAGGGCACAGCAGCGTGGAGCCTGGGGCAGCACCAGCTCATGGAGGCCGCCTGCCTTCTGGTGGGACTCGGCGCCACGCACGCTGCTTCACTTCTGACCAAGAGACACGCGCCCAACAGAAGGTCACAGAGCGCAGACCCTACTTCCTGGGCGTGAAGGTTCTGGGTCAGGTTGGGAGAGTCACCTGCTCCCTGGCACCTCAGGGTGGGTCCTTCTGGCCTGCCGGCTTTTCTGAGCTAGTCTTGGCACCTGGCAAGGACAGCCCCGCTCCTGGTTTTGAGCACGGGCATTCACACAGATCGACTGCCAATCTGCCCAGGAGCACTGAGTGTTGAGAAAACGTACCGAGTGCAAAGGCAGCAAAGGCAACAAACACTGCAGTAACCACACACCTCTCGGTTCACAATCCTCTCCCAAGGGACCAGAAACGCATCTTCCACCTTTAATCCTGGGACTCCCAATTGTCCTGCTAGGGTCTCAAAGCCTCTGCTTCCAGGTTCTCAGCTGCCTGCCCACCTCCTGGGGAAGAAGAGCACAGCGCTTTGCCTGGTAACACCCACCGTGCACCCCTGCTCCGCGGCAGCCTGCGGGTCCCTAACTGCTCTCCAAGGGCCTCAAGAGTTCCCGACAGCAGGCATTTCAATTACAGGAGGAGGGAGGGTGAGACGCCAAAATCAGGTTGACGAGGTCCCACCACACACGGGCACGCACACACACCACAGACTTCTGCTGAGAAATCTCCTCTCCAAAGTGGACAACAAAACACTGCAAAACAAACACAGCACACACCCTTGAGATCTGCCTGCACCCTCTCCCTGCCCGACTCCACCTCATACACAAACTCCAATCCAGCCTCTGTCTCAGAATTCCTTAAGAGTCAACATTTTTTTGTAAGACCGCAAAAACAGACAAGAAAGAAACAATAAAAAGACAGATTTTCTTTACACAGATTTAAGCCAGTAATTTTTAGCAAAATGATACAAAACTGTCTTAACCAAGTAGAAGATTGGTAGTTACAGTGGAATCGTCAGGGAGTACAGGGCGGCCACCACTGGAGGGAGC